ATATATATACTTAAGAGTTTGAATCAGTTTTGAAAAGGGCCTGTTGGTGTGTGAATATATTACTCGAATACCTGTCAGTAAAAGATAGAATGAAGAAGTGGAGTTATCCTCATTGGGGTGCTTCACTCAAACACTCCACTTTATTATTCTATTGTTCCATTTGGAGTGATGGTATGCGGCCACACTTAAAATCAATGAGACAACTCCTTTCCATACAACTTTTAAATGATTCTTCCGTATATTTCCAAGTTATGGAATTCTTCTCCGATCTTTATACACCATTCCACTTCTCTTCCTCATTTCAATATTTTCCTTCACCTGGTGTTAAGATTCAATCGAAATGGAATGGGCAAATAAAAAATAAAGAACAAATAGTTTTTCTTTATTTTTTAATTTTAACATTAACAATATATGATTTTAGTTGACTTATTCTTTTAGTTATCATAGATTGCTTTCAGTTGTACTTTTATGTATATATAGAATGCAATTGCCACAGGTACTGTTTTTTTTTTATGTTTACAGGGCTATCTTTTTTTGGGACTGGGACCTAATCTTACAAAACTGTAATTTAAATGGTTTTTAGAAAGTTAGGCTACAGCCTCATTATATGTTTTTAAATCTGTGTGAACTCACAATATAGCTATTACATTTTATTAGATAACTGTTGTTAACTCGAATACTCTTTTTTAAATATATATTATTCTTGAATTTCATTATAATTACGAATGCATGCGTTGCTTAGTTGTTCCTTTTTTAGGACAGAATCTAATTGTTTCTTGTTTTGTTTTTTTGTTTTTTTTTTGTTATGAATTTAAATATTGTCTCAATTTTCTTAAAAGAATAGCGCTAAAAGATCATGCTCCTTTCTATATAAAACTACTTAGCAAAGCACAAGTCGAGTACAGAATTCGGTTTGAGGGACAGTTCCGGTTAACAAAATGGAGTCACTTTGTGCCAAAGAGGTCGTTGTTAAAAGCCAAGTACTTCTATGGAATACAAGATGCGTCTTCCCATGGCAGCGCAACACGCTTGGATTTTAGGATCCCTTTAAAATACTAATTTGACATGCCAACCGTGTATGGCTTGTTTCCAGTTAGAACGAATAACATTACTCTTGTTATAACATATCAGTTAACTGTTGTTTATTCTAATTTATAATTTTTTATTATTTTAAAATGTATATTCTCGTAGTATTTCTGACTGAATTATATAAAAATTTTAAAAAAATTGCGCTAATAGTGCTCTTGGTAGATTTACTAGGTTTTTTTTAATGAACTTGTTATATTAAATTAATAAGGAAGTGTTTAAATTTGTACTGTAAACACTGCTTGAAACGGGAAAAAAAACTTTTATTTTAAAAACGTTTCGTTATCACTGGAACTTTTACTGTCGATAGTTTTTCAGTTCTTTTGTAACTAGAATTTCTTTTCCTTGCAAATTTTCACGTAAAGTTATTACAGAGGTTTTATTTTTTTTTTAAATTTGTTATCTGAATGTTCTTTCGATTTCCTTAAAAAGTCGATCTAAAAAATTACTTTTATTCATAGCTACTCAAACAAACGACGCATGCGAATCATCTATAATTCATTCAAGATAAATTATAACTCTAATCTAAGCCCAATTACTGTTTAGTTTTCATTTCACGGAACTGTTTTTAAGAACTTGAATAAATAAAAGATAAACTTTTACCATAAACCTAGAACTTTATTACAATAATGATCCTCAGAACTTATATTTTAAGAACTTTTTTCTTAAAAAAGTTTTCTGGAACTGTTAAAATGAAACGCTTTTCCTAAAATATTCAAACAGACTGTTAAAACGGATATTTTTTTTCGTAAAATGTTTCACAGAAACTGTTAAAATAGTACCAAAGTTCGAATGAACAACTCAAGTGGACAAAAAAAATCGTAATTAAAAATTCTCAAAATGTTTTTGTCTTGGATAAATAGATATTTTTAAATTTTATTCAATAATAACTTTTTTTTTTAAATAAGAACAACGATGCATCATTTTTCTGCAGAGATAAACTTATACCAGAACACGGATACGTTCATTTTTCTATTGGAAAACGATCTTTAACATAGATTATCTAAATGGTGGAAAAATAAAATCAATAAAGGGTAAAATAATAATTATGCCTGAAGTATAAATCTCCAAATAGATTTTTTTTTTTATTGGTCTATATTTCTTTCTGTGAGCAATCTGAGTTCTTATGTTTTCTTTTGGAATTATAAATCAGATGCAGTTCTCAAATGTGAGCATGTGGAAAGAACAAAATATTAAAGAATTATCTCTAAAAGTATAAGTTGTTCTGAACGTTAAACTATGTCCATAAGAAATTATGAAATTAAATTTTTAAAAAAAACATGGATTACGTTTTTTCTAAATAAAACAGTTTAGTAAAATATGATATAAAATTTTTATTCCATCATTTACATTTTGTATGTTTCACATCGTTTGATAATGGGTGATTACACTTAAAATACGAATCCATAGTCAGATTTAAATTTATCCCAGCACAAAATGGCGTACTGTTGTTTTTTGGGAAAAAGAAACATCCATTTTTGCCAATAAAAAACATTTGGGAATTTGATAATTGCAATACTTGTGTGTATTTCAGTAGGGTATTCGACCCCTTGATTATTGTGAACTGCTTGACAAATGTCTGTTTCCTAAAAAATACTGTAGAGACAAATAAAACGAAATTATAGTTCATATTTGATGTATTCTTAGTCAATAGAAAATAAATACCAGGAATTATATGTAATTATTATCTCTGGCTATAACAGGAAATGTTATTTTAAAATTAAAGAAAACACTACTTCATTTTTATTAATAAAATGAGAAATTGACTCTGAAATATTATTAAAAAAAAAAAAAAAAAAAAAGAAATCGGTTCCTATGTTAAAAAAATGTTTACCTCTGATTTAGGCGTTTTGTTCTTCAATTGTGATAACATTTCTTTTTCTTTCAATAATTCGTCTAAGTAATTTTATATGAATTTATTTATTCCAATTGCCGAAGAAGTGGTTATATACCATACAACACTGTTGTATGATCAATTTTCGTCTGCGAAATGGACTTGAGAATCATACCCAATGAAAAAATTAGTAGTTTAAAGTAAAAAATTTGACCTCCAAAATCGCTTGAGACATACGCTTGTTTACTTTTTCAATAAAATAAAGCTAGCAAGTCGGTGGAAGAGAACGTTAATGAAAAATATTGGCTTATCAAACCCAATTCGTAGCTATTTATTTCAGTCAGTCCTCACCCAAAAAAATATTTTTAGAGATAATTCAACATAAATTATATATTTTATTTCATTTTTGCTGTCCCTAATACCAATATCATGTTTTAGATTACACAAATATTTAAATAAAATAATAAAATTATTATAATGTACATGACTGAAAAATAAATAACCCCGAGCTCGGATTTAAATATAATTATATATTTTATTTGTATACAGTTTTTAAACTTTAGATCAAATATCTTTAGGAATCTGTGCAATCAGATGCAACTAGTCAAATATTGTATATTTTTTTTTAGAACATAAACTTTATTCTGGGACGATGTCTCCTTAGAATAACAACAATGAACAGTTACAAAAGAAAAAAATACATATTAGATGATATGTGCATGTAATTGCATATTTGAAGATAAATATATATAATTGTATATTTGGATTTTTCAATATATTAAAAAAACAAAAATCAAAAGGCAACATTCAAGACGAATTTCCAAATTACAATCGTAGGTTTATTTTCAATAAACACAATAAAACTATCTTTACTTATTGACCTGGAATATCGATTATCCCTTAGAATACCTTCTTATCCCTGTTAAATGTTTAAATACCACGCTCAGTTACAACTCCAGGTCGTATCCCCTTCAATAAAGGGGAATATAAGTGATATTTTTTTTTTATAAGCCAAAATTATTAGTTTCGTTTTCTTCGAAAGTTAAATATTGAATCTCCGCTTACAATACTCATGAGAAAAAACAACTTTAAAACTCATGAATATTTTTTTTTCAAATAAAATTTAATAATAAAATTTATAGTGAAAAGAAGAAGAGGATAATTTTAAGTTCATGTAATTTTTTTCTGATTATGTCAATACATTATTCAGAAATGCATTAATTTTATATAGTATAAAAATAAACATTTTATAGAAGTATAAAATATAAAAAGTTAATCGACAATATGTCGCCAACGTGACAATTTTCTTTTCATTTATTTTGTTCATGTTGTATGCTTTTATTACTTTCATATTTGTTATTCGTTTTTTATTACTATTAATACATACATATTTTTCATTTTATTTGTCAGAGTATGTTTTATTTATTTTGATTAGTAAAAAAATAAAACAAAAAAATTGAAATCATTTTCATTGATTTTTAATTCTCCATCCAATTTCATAGGTCAATACTTTTTTTTAAAGGAAATTTGGTATATTTGAATATGTTATATGCCTTATTGTATATTTGAATATTTTTGCTGCATGAAAATTCCGGCTCTATATATATATATATATATATATAACTATTGTATTTTTAATAAAATTGCTTCTTGAAAACTAAACATCGAAAGAAGAATGAGCGGATGGATAATATGCATGAAAATGTCCTCGACAGCAGAATGGAGGTGAGAATATGATTCTGGAAAACATTATTCTAGAATTAAAGGTTTATTGTTTGGAGTTACAGCTGGCTTCAAAGATCCACCCTTCAAAGGAATTTTATACGTATGGTTTAGTAAATATCGGCGTTGCCGCATATTGATAGCCCCGATATATCTACCATTAAATACCCAATGGAGGAGCTGTCACGGTAGGACACCACTAACTAGCAGAGATGAGCCGACAGAGACCATTAGCAAGAACAATAGGCCAGCGAGGCTAGACAGAACGGGAGGGGGGAGGCGGGCTATTCTGGGCGGACTCTTGGTCGAGGGCCAACTCCTGCGGCAGTGATCCCCCGAGGGGGCCGCGGGTTAGAGGATGTCCTTTCTGGCGCCCAGCAAGAGTTCGACCACCATCAGCCAGGGCTGGATCTCCTCCAGCGGGATCCAGAGGAGCCGAAGCGAAGTGGTCATCAGCAGGGGCTTCAAGCCCAGCGACACCAAGAACCCGAGCAAGACCAAGTTTCTGACAGACCTCTCGCAGAAGATCTGGGGCCGATCTCTGGTAAGTCGACTCCGGGTAGCTTTGACCTCTCTGGCAGCCCTAGTACTCGGGGATAATAGAATTCCATCCTATAAATAAATATCATATGATCGGCTTTAATTACACCTCGGGCATTCTGTCCTCTTTTGCCTTCGAGTACTTGGGTTACAAGTATCATCGTAACATTCCGATATGGTGGTAATTGCAATATATAAACAATAACAAGGTAACACAATATCAATATTCTTTTTGGTCCATTAGATCCTTCTTTTTTCAAATTATTATTGACATTTATTCTTCCTTCTATACAACTGTAATGTTTCATTACTTGACAGTCTATTGGAGAACCCACTTCTCCCACGATAGTAGGGGATGGAAGGTGGTTGATATATTAATACGCCTCAAATATAATACACAGGATATAATAACTATAATAAAAATAAAAATACATAATTATCATGAAACAATTTTCACAGCAATGGGGGGAATTTTTTCCTATAAAGAATTCTCGTGGTATGGCATTAACAAATAACAAGGTACTTACTGTAGTCATCGTACTTTGAAATAAACAAAAACTATGACCTAGTTAAATTATTAGTTGAATGATCTTTCTTTGAATGTTGCAATGTACCATAGAATGAAAAACTAGACGACATAAATACAAAATATGATAGTGTGAAAAATTTAATTTTTGTTTTTAAAATGATTAAAATTAACTTCTATAATTTTGAATAGCTAAATCAAAAAGAAAGTAATAATAATAATAATAATTTAACTAATTGTGATAAAAAATACTAGACATAAATGAAAAATAGATGTTCTGAGAATTGATAATGAATCAAACACTATTAAATAAAATAATGCAAAAGAATTTTAATGGTTCAATTATTTAAAAGGAATCCCTCAAAAAGAAGTTTTACGAGTATAAAAATGAGATATTACTTTTGCTAAAAATCGATTGTTCTGTTTTCATTGTTCATTAAAAAAAATTAAATTAAAAATTTCAATTATTTTCTTTTTTATTTCGTGGTACAGACCTCTTTTTATCAAATTATTAAATGGCACCTAAACCTTCGTGAATAGCTTCATCTCATCGCAACCTATAAATATTTTATTTACAGAAATTCTCGGAAGTGGAGCGTTTTCAATCAGAAGATCGGGAAACTTTATCTATTTAATTAGATACTAAAAACTCATGAATAGCCATTTTGTTTCCACTTAAATTGTAAAATAATATAATCACAAAATCGAAAAAGAAAAAGGTGGCCTTCAAAAATATTGGGCCGTTTAGGCTATATAACCTCGTTAGTTTGACATTTTAGTAGTGGAGGTCACGCCACATGGACAAAATAAAAAAATAAATATATCTAATATTTGTCTTTCAGTTTTCTTCAATGAATAGAGCTTTTTTTCAATGATTAAATCTTTATTCGATTAAATTTGACCATAACCATCCGAATCCTCTTGTTTCTAACCTTGCTTCCTCTTCAATTCCTGATAACCCTCCGAGGCGTCTGAAAAGAAGATGGCCTCGTGATCTTCTCATATAGACAAATTATTAGAGTGCTACCAGTGGGTAGTTTCTCAACAAGCGTGTTTCATGTAATAATATTTCTCTGTACAAATTTACTTGATGTATTCATACTAATACAGTTGTAAATATCATAATAAAAGTTTAAAAAAAAAAAAAAATTTGACCAATACCTTAGTTCCAAGTTTGTCATTCAACTAATACAAATTAGGAATGTTACGTGGTCTAAGTTTTGTTACTTAATGATCGTTTTTAAAAAAACACTGAACGTTTCTTATTGGATCAAGATAGAGAAATACTTTATTTTCATATAAAATATAAAAGCTTGCTGCTCAATTATATTGGCACACAGCATACTAGTTAATCCGTTGGGCAATAAATAAAACTGTATATAAATATACAGAAGTGGTTAGTATATATGAATATAGCATATATATATATATATATATAATATATATATATATATATATTTGAAGGGGAGGAGATATATAATAAAATATGAATGTGCTTTCCATAAACGAAAATATTAATTTTTTTATAAACTAAAGGTAAAAAATAAAAAAAAAAAAGAAAATATACACGTTTTATTAAAATGAATTAAAAAAAGATAAATACAATTACTTTCGGTAAGTGAAGTCCGTAAATTAAAAGCTAGACATTTATTTACATTTTTTCTTTTATGTTTATGATAGTTCAACATAAAACGCTGTGTGGCATCAAAAGAAAATATTTTTTCTTCTTTACGTCGTTGAGAAAGAAGAATTTATAGAATTAAGACTTTATCTCCGGTAATGTGTCTTTTAAAGCACTAGTTATGACCCCATGGTTTCATCCACATTAAATTGAGATTATGCATGCCTATTTCATGCGAAGGAAGAGTATATCAAGAGCATCTGGTTAACTAAATAATATCTGAATTTCGGGTTTTAAACCTTTTAAAATTGGTTATGGATGGTAAATCCTTAAGCTAATCCGTATAAGTATCATATGATTTTATCCGCAACCTGATCAAGTAAGGCAACCTGTACTTGATAGTGAGAATAACAAATGTGGCAAATAAGTCTTGTCATAAGTCGACTCCGATATGCTTAAAAGTTCGTACTTGTTTTGTAGTTTTTTTTACGAAAAGCTGTACTATACATTAATTAACTTTATTTCTATCCCACTTCTACAGTAATCAAACGACTTGGTGGATTACAAACTTACTTCACAGATGTATAAAATCGTTTTGTATACTATACAATCGTTTGAGCAGTTTTGGATTCTAATGCAGACAAACATTTTATTTGTTTTTCAAGTTTTTCGACCAGTAGAGTCCTTTAGAATATAGACTCTTTTGGTTCACTATATTTTTTTGGTAAATTTTATTGGTGTTTAAAAACTGAATAAGACTTGTAATAGTTTCAAAGTCCACTCTGGGTCTAAAGAGAATCAGTATTAGTCATGAGCTAACGTACTCTTAAAGTACGTGTAGTGCTGCTCAATTACATGGTACGGACATGTTGGAAGTTCTTCTTTTTATTAAATAAACTATGGCCTATCCTGAGATGGGTAAAAGAATCACCTCTTATCTCCGTGTCAACTTTAGATTTTTCTTGGGACGGTTTACGTATTGTTTTTTCATCCTAGTTAACTGACAATCATGTTGAACCATTTATTCTGCCACTCCATCCATCTCTTTTCGTTGATTCAAGATATATAGTTGAGAGCACTAGGCCACTTTTTATTACTAGTCTGACCTGCGAATTTTCTATGAACAAACATAATTGCATTAAATTATATATCTGTACCTTGGTACAATGGGTGCCATTGTCCGCAACTGTTGAGTGAACTACACTATGTTAAACATATGAATTATGTAAACTATAGTTCGTATATGCGTATGGGCAAGTTCATACCTTTATAACTACTTGTACTTCCACAAGTTAAAAATCAAAACAATCATTAATTGTAAATTTATCTAAACATTCTTTAGGTATGTTGGCTGAATATTGTTAATGAAATAAAATAAAAATTCTTGTAAACAAGTCATATTATAAATAAGCCATTTAAATAATTTGATGACAAGAGGGACACTTTTTAAAATCACACTAACATCACTTGTGTGAATCATCCAAGGGCTAAATAATCGTTTTTTTTTTTTCAGAATACGTAAACTTTGTACAGAACCGAAAACATTCGCCATTGTAACCTTCAATTTTGATAAGCTCCATTCTACGCTTCGTTCTTATTTCTAAAAATTTGTAATTGCTATAATACTTTATCGACTGGATTGGTTTGGCAGGTAAACTGCTTAATATTGGTAACTTGATTTTTTTAAAAATGATTCATAGCTATTTTTATGTTTTGTTTTGGCATTCATCAGCGGAGGTCATCGTAACCTCTGTCCCTGAAGTATTTTTATTTCCTTCATTATTAACTGAATATTAATCTAGTCTTAAAGGAACCCTCTGTTCTAAAGGGTTCGTTATCGTGGATTTCAGCCTCAACTAAATTTAACCGATAAAACTTGGCGTTTAATCTTCTGATCCAGAAATGAGCCAAACATCGTAAAAGAACGAGTAATTAGCGAAGGAACTGACGATGGTCCGAAAAAAAAATCTCTCCGAGCTCAGTTAGTGGTTGATGTTAAGTGGTTTGGGTCGGGTGTTGGGGTCTGGATTGAAACGCGAAAACACAACTCCTGTTTAATAAATGTCCGACTTTAGCATCGTGACTCAACCCTCTGGAGGCCGCTCGATGTTGAAATCGCCTACGACTAAAGTAAGAACCGTTGTTGATCATCTAATATTTTAACAAGTAAAACTACAACCCGGCCTAGTGTCAACGCTGTTAGTCGGAAACCTTGATGAATTTGACTCCGTGTCAAAAATAAATGTATTTTTACTTGAATATCCCTCTGCCAAGTACCAGTGGCACCGGGGTTGCCATGATGATGGTAAGTGAACTATTAAACTATAACTCTTTCGAGAATTCTGTCACTTAACGAGCTATAAATAATTAATTGTAAAAAACAGTTTTGTCAAGCAACTATCTTAATTAACTATTTTTTAAAAATTTTATTATCAATTTTTAATATTATAAAATAAGGCTCTGTTTATTTTTCCACCATATTTATTTTAATTTTCATAGCTACGTTTCGGCCGGTAAGCCATCTTCAAGCCATTTTATCCAACCATGCTTTTTGCATGTAGTCCAAAGTCTAATTCACTCAGTTAGGCTTGAAGATAGCTTACCGGCCGAAACGTAGCTATGAAAATTAAAATAAATATGGTGAAAAAATAAAAAGAGCCTTATTTTATAATATTAGAAAATTTTCACCTAAAACAAGCATATATGGATACATTTTTAATTTTTAACAGAGTTAGTTGTTTAAACATTTTTGTTAGAAAAAAGAAACCTTTTTTCTTTTTTATTTTTTTTATATTCATTGATATTTACAACTGTATTATAAAAAAAAATACAACTAGTAAATGTGCACTCAGGAATA